AAAAAAAAAAAAAAAAAGAACTTTGCCCTCTTAGCAGGGGTAGAAAACAAAGAGTAACTGGTTTAACATAGAAAATAATCAAAGAAGGAAGAAATCAACCTAGGGCCCCAGCGGCTTTGGCTAATGTTGATTAATTTGTGGCTTTGACAATGATCAGTACTTAATGAAGGTCAAGGATTTACATGGAAATTTGATGATTCCCTAGCCTAAACCTCACGAAAGCAACTGCTTTCCCCGCCTTTCGCTATCCCTTTTCCCCTTACCATCTCATCCTCTTGTTCTGTCGAGAATCAGAGCAAAAGCACAAAGCTAAATCATTCCCTCCTCATACTTCCACTTGCATAACACCCACAAAGAAAAAGAAAAAGGATCCGATGAACCTTCTTTTTGAATCCCCACCAAAGCACATGAAAAGCAAATTCTGGTCAGAAACAAGAATCAAGAAAAAGAATAGAAGATAACAAAAACAATCTAAACAAACTTTTCATTATCACTTGTGATAATACAATCTTTCAATTTTATGATAACATAATTACAACCACTTATAACAGCAACCTGTTAATTAATACAAAACTAGAAACCTCCTAAGCAAGAAATATTGGCAGTTTACACAGAAGTAGAACACTGAGTTCCTTGCTTTGAACTCAGAGGAAGTGTGACAGCTGGCCCAAACGCCATAACAGAGATACAGTTGACGTTGAAGTTATACCGCCTGGAAACCCAAGTCCCTACCTTCCATCGCAGCTTCCCGTTTACCTTCAGGTTTAGGACTAGTCTTCCAGCAGTCTGATCACGTCCCACTTCGTATCCAAATGAGGGAGTCATTGGCAGCCCTGTCCCCTCTAGAGATGCTGTTAACAGGTTGCTTTCTTCATGGCCCTGGTAGAAAGGAGGAAGAGACGTATCCAGAGTAATTTGCTGTCCTTTATAAGCAGCATAAGCCTGTAGCTCATCATAGTAAACGCCAACCTTATTATTGGGGTTTCTTGAGAAGAGGGTGAGTTGGATTGAGGAGTTGAGAAGTTGAGGACCAGTGAGATTAAGCTGGAAGATGTCAGCTTCCCTGAGGGAGAACTCAGGTTTTGCAGGATGGAGAATAAGCCAAATGAGGAAGATCACAGCTAGAATTATTGTGAAAAAGGAAGAGAGAGTTAAAAATAACTTCTTGTTGAACTTGCCAATGTTCAGTTCTTCTTTATCTGCACAGTGTATGGGAGATTTTGAGAGGACTTGAGACATTTGAAGGGAGAAAGGGAGAGAAGAAGAAGAAGGCTTTTCACACGAGGGAAGGGAGACAGCGGGGATGGAGTTAATAAAGGGGGAGAAGTTGAAGACAGGGAAAGAAGAGCAATTATTTTGCTCTCTTTGCTTTTTACTAGCAGCTGATCCTAGTGGTGGGACTTAGTAAGTTGCTTGTAGATATCAACCTATAAATCTTTTCTTGAATGCATCTTTAGATCAGTGACCGTTAAATGAAATTAAGATGTCAAAGTTGAATCTCAACCATTAGATTACTAGACAATTCTCCATCTATTTCAAAGAAAGAAGAATTGATTATGAACACCCTAGTGGTTCGAGATTGAAACTTTCAAAATTGGAGATTTAAAGTTTGAAAAAATTTTAGGATGGCAGGAAAGGGTATGGAAATATGGCATAGGAAGATAATCTTCAATTGTATAACGGTACATTTGATAATATATTATAAACTATATAATACTTATAAAGTATTTTTTTTCTACAAAACTTTTTATTTAATTTGTTATTCAAATTTAAAATTTAAAATTTTTAAATCTCAAAACTCTATTTTTATGAACAAAAATAAGAGTACTGCTGGCGAGGACCAGCCAGAGTCTCAATCACAAGGTACAAATAGCGCTCATGTAAAGTCAATTAACATCTTTGATCTCAGATAATCATAAACATGCAAGCACAGAAGTATTACAAGTAGCCATGCAACAGCCTATTCAAAAGTTGTATAATATATATACACAAACACACACATCCTTTTCAAAGGAGATAGACATGTTTTGTGTATAAGATGAAGATGATTCATGGGGGATACGGGGATCTCTTTATTCCTGGCCAGAATCAGATTGGAAACACTTTTAGAATAATTGAAGCTTTTAAAAGAAGGCTACACAAGATAGAGCAGCCTATAACCTTTCTTCTTGATTGGAGATAAGTGAGGAAATGGGGCATTGCCTTTAGCCATTAGTGGCTTCTCCATTTCTCTTTCTAGCCCTCCATGATTAATCAAGTACATGCTTATATATTGAAATTGTTTTGGCAATTACCAGAACATGGTGAACTCTGTTATTAAATTGTGTTTTTGGTCTACTTTTACTGAAGATTTAAAAATAGATCCTTTTTTTTTTTTTTTTAAGAATTCTCTCTTCTCAGAACATGTACAAAGAAAATTCTCTTAAAAAAAAAAAAGAGACAAAGTTTTGACCCATGAGACCTTCAAAAAGATAGTGGTCTCTCTACATAGAGACCGGCTCTCTTAATAATTTTTTTTTTTTTGGGCCATCTAAAATTTGCACTGCCATACACACTGCATGTCAGGCAGTGCGGATTTTTTTTTTTTTTAATGCCGTTGGATAAAAAAATATCCAATCGGTTGGCATTTTCTTTTGCAAAATGTTTTTCAATTCAAAGTTTTTCATTGGAATGAGTTACATAAAGTTATATTAAATAACTTTTTAAAAAATTTCGTTTAAGTATATGCACTAGAAATAAAGTGTTATTATTTATTTATTTATTTAAGAGTTAAATATTTAAAATATAAATTTATATAAAATAATGTTAATTATGATAATATGATATCGAAAATTAAAATTCTTTTATTATTCTCCATAGTACAAGTGCTTTTTTTTTTTGGTGGAATAGTACAAGTGCTTTTACTTCTGGATATCTAATCTTTAATTGGATTGGTAAAAGTTAGCTTAGAGTTCATTTTCCGAGGTCTGAGTTTTTGTAGAAGTGATTCTTTTGCTAACTTATTTTTCATGGTAGATGAGCTGTTTCAGCAAATAGGCCAAAAGTGATATAATAATAATACACAAATTCATATGAATCTTTTTTTTTTTTTTTTTTGAGGAAATTCATATGAATCTTAATATTAATAAAACAAAAAGAATGCTATAAATTGAAATTTAATGATTTTTTTTTTTTAATGAAGAAAGGTTAATAGATGTTTACTTTTTAGTATATAATTCAACAAAGACATTTAGGAGTTGTACTTAAATCGAGTTTCTTTATTTTATTGAGCTGTGCTGTGCACGAAAGAGGGTTAAAAAGAAGAGGAGACATGAAGAATCTATAAATTAGCTTTTAGGAAACCCCCGTATATCATCTTAATCATTTCTTGTGTCTTTATGCAGGGAAGGGTTTAGTAGAGGTCAAATTACATGATCCCATCAATCTCGGCCATTGATTGCTGGTAGATCAGTCTAATGATCGAAGGGGGCATTCTTGAATTATGATCTCCAAAAGAATACTATAGTGAAGGGGTTTTTGAATGCTTAAAAGTTTGAAATTGGAGAAAGAGTTTGGTTTTGTTTTTGAAACAAATTTTTTTTGTTCTTTTTGAGATATTGAGCCCTTCAATTAAAGATTAAGATGTTGATTTCCCAATATTACATCTTCTTTTTTAAGATGTTAATTTGCTTGGGACCAAAGTGAGGTCTCCCTCCTTCTCCCCCGCCGTCTCTGATTGTAACAGGGGAGAAAAGATTTCTAGCTTTTCATTTCTTTCATTTTCTAGAGATAAGCATTTGGGTCATGAAATTTCCCTGCCAGCTAGTCCTCACTCATTGCATAGGTAGCATAGAGTTCAATCTAGACCGGGAAAGTCGATTTAGTATGTCGCACGAAATCTGCCTATGGTATTACAAGAATCTTTTATTTTTTGAAAGAAAGCAACGTACGATCATAGAAAAATGTGAATCATACTCTATTCGCTGCGGGAATATACTTTCTGTTTATATTGATAACTCATGGGTAGAGAAAAAGATTATCAAGTGCTGAGAAAATGCCGTGCTGTACATCACTGCAATGAAATTCAAGTGGTTCTCTTTTGAGCAAAGAGATCTTGTGTTGATTTCCCTAGTCAATTCCTGTATGTACTTTAGAAAATGGGGGTACCTGTTCAGACAACGGGAAACAATAGTCGGACCATAAAGATACAGGAGATAATACCAATGCCATTTTGCCACTAAGCGAAGCACATACAGTTTTTACACTTTAGTGAATTAGATCTTTTACAGACGAATTATTTGCATTCTTTACAGAACCTAGACTTGGCACGTATAGCATTGTTTTAATATACCAGAGATAGAGAGGAGAAGAAAAGAGATGCATAACCTTGCTTGAATATATATGGTGTATGTACCAAAGGAAAATAGTAAAGAGTGAGGTTACAATTTCTTTAGTAACTATAGCTATGGGATTTTGAATGAACAATTCTAGCAGGAAACAAATAAAGAATGAGCAAACAAATAAAGTCGTGCAATTGAAAGTCACTATACTACTTTACATTAAGTACATGGCTACATGACAGTCTGTGTCAATATCCACAATGCCTAGGAATGTGAATGTGATGTCAGAAACCATCTTTTGTAGTGCCTCATGAGTCATGACTCTCCCTTTTTTCTTCCTGAATTTTACATGCAAGGATGAAAGTAAATCTGAACCACCAGTCACCCATAGTTACATATTTGGGGGGGATGCTAGCTGTTAGATGAACTACCATACTGATGCTGAGTTTCTTCAGGATAGGGATCAGGCAGCACTCAGACGAACAAATTGTCCTTTAACTCGAGGACGTTGCTCTGCAAGCTTTTTTCTGCTCTCGTACCTAACCTGTGAATTGACTATTTGCACGTAAAATATATGCCTCACATAAGCTGCACTTGCTATATAAGTGAGATCCGTATCATTCTTCATTTTATTTGGCAATTGAGGGATAGCACCACTACCAAAACCATTCTTATCATGAGAACCATACTTTCTTACACATGTTCATGCATCATATAAAAAATAGATTCTAATAAGCAAAATAACTCTGGTAGAGATCATAAAAGGAAGGCTAAGTTGATTATAAAACCCCATACCTTTTTCTCATAACATCTATCTTTGCGCTTCAAGCGAAACTTGGTTAGTGCTGCTTCTCTCTGGATAGATCGGTCAGAGTTTCCACTAGGACTGAGAAGACCATCTTCCTTTCTACCCTCTACAGAAGCATTGACAACAGTCACCTGATCGACATCTCCGTTACATGCACAAGCATTCCCACAGCCACTACCATTAAGATGAGTTCTAGCTCCATTACAGAAATTGCTAGTTGTGCTCTGATCAGTAGCAGGAGAAATTTGTCCTCTATCCTCAAAAGAATCCAATTTATTCTCAAAAGAATCCAATTTATCCAGCTTCTGCAAAACTTTATTGGTTGAATGCTTTTCATTTGGGACAAGATGGTCATATAACTGTTCAGACTTATTAAATGGATTGACACGAAAAGCATGTTCCTGCTGGTTTGAGGGACTTGGACTTGGACTTGGACTTGGCACAGGAGATGCACTTGATTTGTTATAAAAACTTGGAGGAAGAACTGAATCATAGCCAGCACAGAGGTTATTCAGCCGTATACCCTTCACTTGAACCAGCGCAGGAAATACTTTCTGCTGAGGGCATGAAGCCACTAGTTCAGTGTGTTTGGATTGGGCAGTAGCCAGAGAGATCACGCTGCTCAGAGTACTTAGTGTGAGACTAGGAGTATCCGAGTTACAACCAGTTACAACATTGGACAAATTTTTCTTGGAATCAATTCCAAATTCTTTCTGTTGATTGTTGACACTAGTTAATGTTGAATGTAGAGGATGTGATGGCCTGCTAGTGTACCTGCAACCAATATAATTTAATTGATTAGCATTTTGTGATACTTGCAAGCAAAGTAAAAACAGTAAATCTTTTCAACCAATTACAGTTTTATATTTTAAAGCATCTCATAGGTGCTTTCTTGTATACCTGCTTATACTAAATAATTTAATTGTTTTTCCTTTTCTTGTAACTGGAAATGGGAGTGATGAAACCAGCATCTATTTCCATTCTGTGCACAACTTGGTTCAATTCATTTCTTAAAAAATACTTGAAACTCTTTTTATCATTGTGAATTCTCATCAACAGATGAGAATGGAAAGTGGAATAGATCCAGACCTTGTAAAGGCCGATGCCTTGGGGTGCCAAAGGGTACGCACTTCTTGTGTAACATGATTCTCAAGATGATTGGGATAAGAACTCAAGGTGAGATTTAATCCTGGATGAGAATCAAATTTGACTGTGCCATTAACTGAAGAAGAATGTTGGTTATTAAATGTTCCCATGAAATCAATGGCTTCTAATTCTGTGGAGGATTCAGCAATGGCATCACAAGCCTCAGAAGAAACAAAAGCATCCCTTCCTTGACTTTCTGCTTTAGCACCCTTGGAAATGTTTATTGTGTGATCATTGTCACATGCACCTCCCATCATCCCTAATGTGATATAGATAATGGAAAAAACTTAGATGCTATCTTTATGTAGAGAAAAGTGATGTGAAATTTAACATTTAGAATTGTACCTCGAGTTTCACTCTCATGTCTTAGCAGTTTCTGACTGAAATTGGCATCAGGTTCATGCTTCTCAGTTTCCTCCAGTAAAGGTTTTCCCCTTGCCAACAATGAAAGTTCCTGCATATTTTCCATCTGTGCACTCTCAGCTTGCAAGTTTGGCTTTGTACAAGAGCTCTGCAAGAGACAGCAAACATGCAATCTCTACATGAAACCTCATGTAGCCAACCTAAACTCAAAGAAAATTCCTATTACCACGAGCAACCTCATTTACTCATGCATGTCCCGGATAACAATTCACTAATTGTTCCTAGAAGCATCACTCCATACCCCAACAGGTTGCAAATCTACTAATTTTAACATTTGACTTGGAACTCATGTCATGGCAGCATCCATATAGTCCTATCACTAAATTAGTATGTTTAAGACGGATTTAGGTTGTGGTCCTCCAAATGTTCAAAAGCCTTTAACAAACAGCTAGTAATTGAAACAACTTCCTATCCAGTCAACACGACAAGATATCATGACCTCTGAAAAATAGTATGTTGTTGTTAAATACGCTTACTAATCACCACAATAAATTCTTTTTCATGGGAATTTACTAATCAATTTCCAAATGATGCATTCTCAGCTTGTATCGCAGATAAAGAGAATTAACCTGAGCTTCACTTCCTTTCTCAAGGGGTTCATTGTTTCTTGGAACGCAAGCCATGTACCCACTTGCATGATTGCTTGCAGCATTATTTTCAGACGTTGCTTCAGCCTTTTGCTCTCCAACACTCTCATCTTGGGGGAAATCTCCACCAATAATTATTGACTAATTGAACATACAACAAACTCAGTGAATGTAACTTTCAAGGAAGGAAAGAAAAATAGTTATAAATAGAATCTATAAATTAGGCTTACGGATTTTCTTCTCCATACATGCTGCCACAAATTTCTCAACTCATTTCTCCTTATAGGCTTAACAAGATAGTCGGCAGCACCCCTCATCATGCATTTATGTACTGTACTAATTGAATCTTGTGAAGACATCACTGCACCAAAAAAATTTATATACTTTGTCATTGCAGAAATGGAAGCAGCTATACTAATATGTCAAGATCTTCATATTATCATACTTATAACAGGAATATTTTTGCAAATCTCGTGCTCGATAGTTAGTGTAAGAAGAGCAAATCCTGATATTAATGGCAGATCCACTTCTGTCAATATAAGATCAATGTCTTGCGGTTTCTCTTTCAGTATCTCCCATGCCTTCAGACCATCAGGAACAGCAGCAACTGCTCAAACAGACAAAAAAACAAGAAAAGTGAGACAAAATGAACGAGTAATTTCCATGCAAAAACCTGCAACTAGCTTGGAACACCCAAGAAATTCAATTCAATAAAAAAACAAATTTCACAGAAAAAAACACCCATAACTCCATACCTTTATAACTGCATTTCCTGAGCAGAGCAGCTATAATCTGCCGGGTGGAGTCATCCGCTTCCACCAACAAAACCCTCAATGCTATCCTTTGCAAGAACCTCTCCCATCCCGCCATTCCCTTGGAACTCCCCTCCTTCTTCTTCCTCCTCCTCTCCACCGCCCTTCGTTCCACGTCCTCCTTCTCCTCAGTTTCGCTATCTGTTTTCACCTCCTTCACGTCCTCGCTGCTCTCTACCACTTCACCCATCATTCGCACCACCGCCTTCACTTCACCAGAGCCAAACACTTGGATAGTGGGAACAGAGAAAGAAAACAAAGTATCTATCTCATGCTCTTCCAAAAAATCTACACATAAAAATATCTGAAGTCCGTGTAAAATTGCATGGATGGTGCTGATGCAAACCGCTCTCATCCAACGGCTATAAACATCTTACTGAAATCAGGGAGAAAAATATCTCCAGCTCTCCTCTGCATGCCACGTCGGCCACGAGGGCACGCGTGGGGCCCCAAGACGCAGACTTTATTGGTCTCTGAGGTGTGCAAATTTAATGGTGGGGAATGGTTTGGGCTCTCCGTTTCTTTGTCTTAATGTTAAATGGTTATTTGGGAAATAAAAATGATATAATTATGTTAAATATTTAAGTAATTTAGTAATAAATTTTTTTAAATAAGAGTTTTAAAGATTTTTTTATAAATTTTTAATAATTATGATATATTATTATGATTAATTTTTATGTTTTTTAATATATATTTTAATGACACTTTTTATTATAAATCATATAAAAATGTAAAAATTAACGTTAATTTTAATATTTGTATTAAATGAATAAATTTAATTATATAATTGATAAATTAAAAGTTAATTTTTATTTTTAAAACAAATTTATAATAAAAATGTATTATTAGCCCTTAATTTGTATTAAAAAAATCCTTATTTTTTTATTTAAAAATTTAACTATCATATTAGAAGATAATGCATATTAGTTTCGATTATTAAAAAAATTAAAAATCTAACCTTAAACAAGGTGATTTTATATAATTAAAATCTAATTTAAAATTTAAAAATTTAACGGTAAAAATAAACTTAGAAATTTATTTTATTAAATATTAATATATAAATTTAAAAACTAATTATATTAAAATATATAATTAGTTTTCAAATTAAAATATTAACATTTAATAAAATAATTTTTAAATTTTA